AGCTGGGATTACAGGTATGCACCACCACGCCTGGCTAATTTTGCATTTTTAGTAGAGATGGGTTTTCTCTATGTTGGTCAGGCTGGTCTCAAACTTCCAATCTCAGGTGATCCACCCGCCTCGGCCTCCCAAGGTGCTGGAATTACAGGCGTGAGCCACCGTGCCCAGCCTGCAAAAAGTGTCCTTTACGTGATATCCTTACATTCTCTCTCAAAACAGTTTATTCACAAACCTAACCCAGTCCTCAGGTTTTACATGAGAAATATAAACCAAGAAGCCAGATAGTAAGATTAAGATTAGCAGAGAGAGAACTTGATCCTTTCTCTGACTTGAATACAGACAGGATATGAAACTTCCCACAGCTAAGATTTGCCTACATACAACTTACCATGCTGTATTTTGGAAAGAAGGAATGACTCCTTGCGTGGAGAGAGGAGAGAGAAAAAGAAAAATCAGAATGTTCTCTTGGGCTTCTAAGAATTTCGAGAAATAAGCCCCTTTCTAGTCAGTTTAATACTAACAACAGCTGCCGAGAAGAGGGGAAGTCCACACTATGAGAAATTCAAACCGGCCTGGAGGTTTCTTTATGAGAGGAACTTCCCTTCTCACAAGTAAAAAAGGAAAGCTCTTATCTTCCCTATGACAAGTGTCAGTCACACTGCATAATTAAACAGAACACTTCGATTCCATAACCAAAAAGACGCAAGGGACACATCTGTGAAAACTAAGAATTCCGCTCTGTAAGGCTCTTGGGGGTTACATCAGCATTTGGATCCCCTAAGGACACAGAACTGGAATTTTTCAAGGCACAGGAAGTTAAAATCTTGTCCAAAAAGGAACTGCGAACTCTTGCTTGATTTCAACCCTGTATCATCCTTGGCTCCATTCCCAGGGCCGTGAGAAACAGCCTGCAATATCCGCTCACCAGGTTTCTGTTTCTCCTAAAAGCCTGGTCTAGCCATAAATGCAACGATCGATGGGATTTTCTCCTCCTTGCTGCCTAGTCAAACGTGCTTGCTCTCGGACAAGTTCCTAAACGAAGCCCGGGAAACTAGTGTCTGCACAAGCCTGAGCTGAGCGCAGCGGCCCCAGCCTGCCCCGAGGGGCCCTACCCTCCCATGGCAGAACAGTTTCACCACGAAGCTGGGTCAGGCCGGAGAAGCCCTCCCATTCCGCTTAGTACCTCAGAAAATTCGCCCCTTTTTGGGTCATAAGATCTGGCTTCAATGACTCCTAACTCACCCCAACACCTCCTTTCTCTTAGCCGAAGGGCCCCAGTCCCAGTCACCGAAGCCCATGGCCCAAGGTTACCCCTAGGCCCAGTGCCCCGGCCCTTCTGGGGTCCTCATTCCCTGCTGGCCTCACCCAAACCTCGACTGAAACCTGCAAAACGGGCCTCTTGGTCACAGCCACCGCCCGTGAGAATCTTCCCACCCACCCCCAAAAGTGCGGCCATCTTGGCTGGGGAGGCTGAGGGCGGCTCAGGGGACACAGTAGCGATCCCAAAGGCACAACCACTACCTTTCGCCCTCAAAGTGCTTTTCTTCGCCTCCAGCAGGATCAGCAACTGGCAGCAGAGGCACCCAGGGGCAACACGAGCAGCACGAGAGAGCTTGGAGAGCTCCGGGTGTAACCTCCTCACGGAGGAAGGTTCTGGAAGAGCCGTTGGCTGGGCATGCGCAGTGCACCAGTGCACGCACCTCCACCCGGAGAGCTCGCTGGAGCGAGGCCTATGGAGCCAGGAGCCCTTCGCAGACCTTGTCCAACCTCCAGACCTGCGGAGCCAGCTCCCAGCTCCTTCCTTCACGCGGGTACTCCTATTTACTGAGTACTGTGTTCAGCACCGTGCTCAGACGGGGACCCTTGCCGGCCTTCCTTTCCTAGTGGTGGAGGGAGACGGCATTGCCGCAGACACGGGCTCAGCGAGGCCTCTGCAAGTCGTGCTTGAGAGCCTCTCTGGGGTTCAGGGAAGGCTTCCCAGGGAAATTATGCTGGCCTGGGTAACTACTATGCAGTAGGGCAGGACTGAGGAGCATGCACAGTCGCTACTAAAAATACAAAAATTAGCCCGGCGTGGTGTCAGGTGTCTGTAATTCCAGCTACTTGAGAAGCTGAGGCAAGAGAATTGCTTGAACCTGGGAGATGAAGGTTGCAGTGAGCGGAGCTCGGGCCATTGCCTCCTAGCCTGGGCAACAAGAGTGAAAACTCAGTCCCAAAAAAAAAAAACAAAAAAAGAAAGAAAGAAAACTGAGAGACTCTGAAGTGTTGGGAGCAGAGAACTGTGCAAGAAGAGGCTGGAAAGGTGGATAGTGCGGACCGTGCTGGGCCTTAGTTTTTATCCTAAGAAATTTCAATCCTCCTCTCTTTGCTAGAAAGTACCACCACTAGCTCTGTGATGCTTTGCAGCTGACCACCCATCCTTGGCATTAATCTTGACAGCCTGTGAGGTCTAATAATTTTCTCAAATGAGGGAGATGAGGCTCACAAAAAAACGTATTTTGCACACAGTTATTAAGTAGTAAAGCAGGAGTGTGAGCCTATCTCCACCCTGTGCATGGTCACAGAGAGCACCAAAATTAAGCATAAGCACAGGGATAAGCTGTGTCAATGGTCACCACATGTTTTCTTCAAAAAGAATTCTGTAATTCTATTTAAGTGTTAATAATCTGTGTAGAAACTAGTCAAAAAATATGCACCATGTGACACAGAATGCTACTATCTGCTCTCCCCTAATTCTACAGCATGCATTGTCAATGGGAGGAGGGGCACGTTGCTACCAAGGGGGACAAAAATCGGTTCTTGGAGAGCTAAAAAATCTTAGATATTACAATGACTAGTGGCCTACCAAAGTTCAACCCTACCCAATGAAATCTTATTTCGTAGCACTTGATTTCTCTCTTTAGGGAGAAATTAAATTTAGTTTTCAGTTAACTTTATTTTTTTCTCAGGGCAAGGTGGAGTGTGTGTGTGTGTGTGTGTGTGTGTGTGTACACACGTGCATGCAGCAGAGTCTGTAATGAAAAAAATTGAGAAACATTATTTTACACAAATGAAATCTCCAATCTTTAGCTAGTCAACCAAAATAAAGATTACATTTCTTAACTTTCCCTACAGCTAGGTGTAGTCATGTGAATAAGGCCTGCCCCCATGGGAGGTGGTAGAAAATGATAAAAAATGATAGTGACTTCTAGGATGTGTCTGAAAAGAAGGGACATGCCCTTTTGCTGCCTTCTGACCATCCTGTACTTGGAAATTGGACATGGTGGCAAGCCACCTTTGGCCATGTGTGTGAGGGCAGCAATCTAGAGATGGTGACAAAACAAAGGAAGAGCCTGGAAGACCGCATGGGAAAGAGCCACCACCCAAGTGCTGCTGATCCACCTACCTCTGTCAGAGAGAGAGAAACTTCTATCTTAGCCACTGTTTTTTATTGTCGCTGTTATTTATTTTTTTATTTTATTTTTCTGTAAGTTTTTGGGGTTCTTTAGTGGTGATTTGTGACATTTTGATGCATCCGTCACTGAACAGTACACACTGCACCCTATTTGTAGTCTTTATCACTCATCCCCCTCTCACTCTTCCCCACAAGTCCCCAAAATCCATTGTATCATTCTTAGGCTTTTGTGTCCTCACAGCTTAGCTCCCCATATCAGTGAGAACATATGATGTTTGGTTTTCCATTCCTGAGTTACTTCACCCAGAATAATAGTCTCCAGTCTCTTCCAGATCACTACTAATGCTGTTTATTCATTCATTTTTATGACTGAGTAGTATTCCGTCATGTATATATACCACAGTTTCTTTATCCACTTATTGATTGATGGACTTTTGGGTTGGTTCCATGATTTTGCTGTTGTGAATTGTGCTACTGTAAACATGCATGTACAAACACATTTTTCAGATAATGACTTCTTTTCCTCTGGATAGGAGGAAATCCAGTAGTGGGATTGCTGGATCAAATGGTAGTACTACTTTAGTTCTTTAAGGAATCTGTTTTCTATAGTGGCGGTACTGGTTTACATTCCCACCAGGTGTGCAGAAGTGTTCCCTGATCCACAGCAACACATCTGCTGTTTGTTGATTTTTTTTATTATAGCCATTCTTGTGGTTTTGATTTGCATTTCCCTGATCATTAGTGATGTTGAACATTTTTCCATGTTTGTGGTCATTTGTGTATATTCTTTTAAGAATTATCTATTCATGTCTTTAGCCTACTTTTTTATAGGATTTTTTGTTTTTTTCTTATTTATTTGTTTGAGTTCATTATAGATTCTGGATATTAGTCCTTTGTTAGATGTATAGATTATGAAGGTTTTCTCCCACTCTGTCAGTTTTCTGTTTACTTTGGCCATGCAAAGCTCTTTAGTTTAGTTAGGTCCCAGCTGTTTATCTTTGGTTTTTATTGCATTTCTTAGCCACTGTTAATTTGGGTCTCTTACATGCAACTGACCCCTTATTCTAACCAATCTAACAATTTAAGAACATTAAAATGGTAGCAGGAATGATACAAAATGAGCTTACCACTGGTAGATAATGAACTGGTCCCAGAGGAAATTAAGGTGCTTTAACTTGTCGGGTGGGCAATATAAGAAAATATCAATGTAGCCATCTATTATACAGAAGGATATGCCATAAATAGTAATAGAATTTGAAAAGTGTATTGCTTACCTGGACTTTAATATTTACTATCTGGAAACCACATCTCCAACCCTTGTTGTGTAACATTAGGATATTAATTATATAACCTATTCTTCAAACAGGTGAGTAGCTGTGAATGTGCTAAAAGGCTATCAGTGTTGCTAGTTTCACAGCCCTTATTGTAAACCACCCATTTATGTGAAATGGAAATAAAAACATGCAGAAATTCCCTTGGATCTGAGAGTAGGGTTTCCCCTAGCACAATCAATTTTGTGGTTAATTTAGTTAGCTCAGCTAAGATGCTAGCCAATCAGAGGTTAGGAGAGAAATGAATTTCCTAAATAAATATGATGCCCAAAATGTGTTATCTAAAGAATTTATCAGGCTCAAAGTCTGGTACAAGAGTGACTTAGAACTCCATTCTATCACTATGAAGAAAAGTGGTATTCTTTTCGTCTTAGGCTTCATCTTGCTGGTTCTGATTGGAGTTCAAGGTAAGAGGTTCTGAGTTAGGTTGTAAAGAGAAGTGATTTACTGTAAAAGAATCTTGGTTAGCCAGATAAAGTCGAATGTTCTGCCTGCATTGAAAAGTAATATTTGGTCACTTATAAAAGCTTCTCAGTGACATGATCAGTTATCCAAAGTTCATAACTTAGATCACCAGGTCAAACACAACTCTCTGTAGTTTTGGTGTATGAATTCCTAGTAAGTGTTCAGTAAATGTTCATTGAACTGGGTGATAATGAAATGAAACTCTGTCTCCTAAATTATTTTCTTCTCCCTGATACTGTTTTTTATAAGTATGTCTGTGGCTAACAAGTTAAGGATCCAACTAGCAATCAGAGAGGTTGTCCCTAATCTATTTACTATCTTTGTTACCTTGGGCAAATTACTTAATCTTTCTAGACCTCAGTTCCTCATCATCTGTAAAATAGAACTTTGTAGTTATACCTTTTCTGACTACTATATAATGTATGGCATGTAGTATAATAAGTACCAAGTAAATATATGAATTTTAAAATTAAGATAATGTATTTTAAGGAATTTTTAAAAATTTAAAACACTATTGAAAAGCAAGGCAGTGGGGAGGAGAAAAGATGAGGGAAGTGGGATTGGTTACAAAGGAGTGCTTTCTGTTCAACACTAACACCAGTTTCATTCCCTAAGGTCAGAAAATAAACAATAAATGGCTTGAGGAGTTGCTTAAGAAACTGTGAATCAGCATAGCATACATGAATTATGTATCTGTTTGTCTTGTGATAGGCATTTATTAAATATTGTGGAAGTCTCTTTTGCTCCCAAGAACATAAGATGTGGTAGTTAAGAGCAACACCTTTGGACTCAGACCTCAGCTAAAACCCTGACCCTACTCCCTAAAAGCTGTATGATTTGGTTCTGTAACCTTTCTGAACCTTAGTTTCCTTATGTCTAAAATAGAGATGATAGCTCCTTCAGAGGTTTGTGGTGATGATTTTTAGGCACTCAGTAAATTGTAGTACTAATCATGACTCAGTCAGATGTATCATTTTGATAAATCACCTAAACTGAAACATTGGGCTAAACTGATGTGTTCTACCTTTTTCTTTCCCGTAGGAACCCTAGTAATGAGGAAGGGTCGCTGTTCCTGTATCAGCACCAACCAAGGGACTATCCACTTACAATCCTTGAAAGACCTTAAACAATTTGCCCCAAGCCGTTCCTGTGAGAAAACTGAAATCATGTAAGTAACAACCCAGCTGACATGCATGCACCATATTGGCAAGAACATTAAATTTAGGATGAGTTTTACCCTTGGAGTGCTTGTCCATAGAAACACTTAAAAATCAGATGGTTAGCCCCTCCATAAATTTGGGCAGCCCCTTTCTTTTCTCTCCTTAAAAATACAAGGAATTTCCAGTAGATTAGGACCCAAGAATGATGTATTACCAAAGTAACACATGTTTATTGTAGAAAATGTTTAATGCAGATGATACAATAGAAGAAAATAAAAATCACTCATAATTCTATCCTCAAGTGACAAATACTGTTAACCCCTTAGTATACAATCTTCTAAATCTCCCTTATTTGCTTCATGTGCATGTAACATAGATATGTATTTATAGACACAGTATACAAACACAAAAATTAAATCATATGCTGTTTTGTAATCTGCTTTTTCATTAAAAATATATCATGAACTTTTTTTATGTCAGTAAAGCTCTAATAATGTCGTTTTTACCTAATGTCACTTTTTTTTTTTGATGGAGTCTTGCTCTGTCACCCAAGTTAGAGTACAGTGACAGGATCTTAGCCCACTGCAACCTCTGCCTCCTGGGTTCAAGCAGTTCTCCTGCCTCAGCTTTCTGAGTAGCTGGGATTACAGGCGCCCACCACCATGCCCAGCTAATTTTTCTTGTATTTTTAGTAGAGACAGGGCTTCACCATCTTGGCCAGGCTGGTCTCGAACTCCTGACCTTGTGATCCACCTGCCTTGGCCTTTAAATATAATTTTTAATGGCCTAATTTTATTTCATCATATGGATAAGCCATAATTTAGATGACCAATTATTGTTGTTGGAAATATAGATTATTTCCAAATTTTTGCTGATGAAATAAAACTTATTATGGCAGTAGTATGTCTGTAATTCTTTCCTATTGGTACCTTTCTCAAGATTAGAATTGCTAGGTTAAAGGATGTGTGCGTATTTTAAGTCTTTATATATCATCCTTGACTACTCTTTTTCTCACACTATACAGAAAAATTAGATAAATATTTAAATTATTTCCAGACAGTCTACTGTAAGTAATTTTTAAAATTCAACCAGGGGTGGGCACAGTAGCTCACACCTGTAATCCCAGCACTTTGGGAGGTCGAGGCGTGTGGATCACGAAGTCAAGAGATTGAGACCATCCTGGCCGACATAGTGAAACTCTGTCTCTACAAAAATTAGCTGGCATGGTGGCATGCACCTGTAACCCAGCTACTCGGGAGGCTGAGGCAAGAGAATCACTTGAACCTGGGAGGCAGAGGTTGCAGTGAGCCGAGATGGCGACACTGTACTCCAGCCTGGCAACAGAGCTTCGTCTCAAAAAAAAAAAAAAAATTCAACCAGTGGCTCATTTTGTCCTAGGAAATAATTTTAAGTAGTTTCACTAGAAAATTCAGCAAAATTTATACTTATTTTCATTATTTCTGAAAAAAAGCATTTAAGTTATTAATGAGAAAAAACGGTCTCATTGCTATTTCCTTGGCAGTGCTACACTGAAGAATGGAGATCAAACATGTCTAAACCCAGATTCAGCAGATGTGAAGGAACTGATAAAAAAGTGGGAGAAACAGGTTGGTGAAAAGAAGGAACAACATTTTCTTTCTTTTAGAAATTAACTCTGGAAAACAAAGAATCTGCATTTTCATGAACACTATAAGAATACATAACTTTTAAGAATACGTTTTTCATCCATATTATGGTGCTTCTATTTTGCCTAGGACAAAATTATGTTCCTACATATAGTATCCCCTCTCTGTCTCCCACCAGAAGAATGTGTGTTCCTTGGAGGGTACAGAGCTTGTCCTTATTTAATACAATAAATATGTAATTAATTGAATGGTAGACACAGAGGATACAAACATAGTAAGGTATAGTCTTTTCCTGTTGTAGCAAATATGCTAATAATTACAGTACAATGTGAGAAATATAAAAGTATGCACAAGAATCTTGAAGATACAGAGGAGGGAGTACTTAACTTTGCTGGGGGACCAGGGCACGAGAAAGTGTTAAGGAAGATTTCTCATGTCAGGTGATACTTGATTTGGGTCTTGAAGGATAAATAATTCACCAGGAAGGTAGGAACAGTGTGAGCAGAACAGTAGAATCACAAGAGAATTTGCTGTGTTCAGGGAACCTCCATTAATGTGGCTGGAGTTTGTGTGAAGAGACTGAGGTAGAAAAGTCGGTCAGGACAAAGCGGGAGGAATCCTGCATGGGATGCTGAGGAGTTGGTATGTGAGTGGGAGATTGGGTTCTGGAGTGTGACAGACTGCTGGTTCTGCCACATTAGCTGTCCAGATTTGGGCAAGTCACCCTCCTCCAGGCCTCAGCCTCCTCATACATAAAACACGGAATATAACAGTGCCAACCTCAGAGGGTTGTAGCTGGGGCAGGTGAGTGGTAAGCAAGGTTGCGGGGAGATGTAATAAGCCAGAAGAACAGACAAAAGACAGCCAGTTAGAAGGCTGTTGCCTCCTCCTCAAAGTGAGCAAAGTAGGGAGAATCTAAAGGAGCCCCTCTGAGAGGGAAGTGACTTTAATGTGGTTTTGAGGATGAAGAAAGACCATAATCAGGAGAGTGAGTCCAAATATAAATGAAAATTGTAAGATTTCAGAAACATTGCCCTTTTTCCCTTCTCACAGGTCAACCAAAAGAAAAAGCTAAAGAATGGGAAAAAATGTCAAAAAAACAAGAAAGTTAAGAAAGTTTGCAAAGTTCGAAAATCTCAACGTCCTCATCAAAAGAAGACTGCATAAGAAACCACTTCGGCAATAAGTATTCTGTGTGAAAAATGTTCTATTTTAATTATACCGAGATCATTCCAAAGGAGGATGGCATGTAATACAAATGTGTGTTAATTTGACTAGAAAATTTAAAACATTGCTCTGAAGTTATAACTAAAGCTAGAAAGTTGATTTTGAGAATCCAAATGTTAAGAATTGTTAGAGGCCATGATTGTCTGTCTTTTTCTACCACCCACCAACTGAATTGCATCATGCTTAAGGCCGTGATTTTAGTAATATCCGTGTCCAGACAGATGCTCAAACAACTACATCCCACACACAACAGCTGCCTGGAAGAGCAGCCCTAGGCTTCCACACACTGCAGCCTCCAGAGAGTATCTGAGGCACATGCCAGCAAGTGTTAAGCCTGTTAGCATAGGACGCTGGTGAGCCAAGCAGTTTGAAATTGAGCTGGACCTCACCAACCTGCTGTGGCCATCAACCTCTGGATTTGAATCAGCCTACAGGCCTCACATATAATGTGTCTGAGAGATTCATGCTGGTTGCTGCTGGGTATCACCACTGGAGATCACCAGTGTGTGGCTTTCAGAGGCTCCTTTCTGCTGTTGGAAGCCATGTGATTCTATCTTGTCTGTGCAACACTTTCTTATTGTTCCCCTTTGCTTCATTCAAGCCAGCTCTTCTCCATCCTACCACAATTCAGTGCCTGCCTCCTCTCCAGGGCATATGTTACATGCTCTGATTTATCTGTGTCGACTCCTTTCTCACCTTGTCCCCAATACCCCACAGAAATGCTTTCTTCTCCCTATTCATCCTCACTCAAGCCAGTCTTCAAGGCTTAGTTCAAGTCCTGCCTCTTAAATAAACCTTTCTGGACACATATATTATCTTAAAATTCCTATTTCACTTGGGTTCAGTACCACATGGGTGAACAATGAATGGTTAACTAATTCCTGTGTGTTTATCCTAGCTCTCCAGATTGTCAGCTTCTTGAGGGCAAGAACCACGGTTTATTTCCGTGATTCTTCCACGGTGCCTAATAATACTGTGGAATTAGGTTTTAGTAACTTTTTAATTGCTATCATTACAGGCAAGAGGGCAATCAGACATTGTCTCAGAGCAGGTGCTGGCTCTTTCTGGCACCTCCATGTTGGCTAGCCCCTGGTTAACCTCTTACTTATTATCTTGGCCATTCACTGCAGGGACCAGGGATGATGCAACATCCTTGTCTTATTATGACAGGATATTTACTCAACTTCTCCAACAATAAGAAGCACGTGGTAATAATAATAAGCTTGCAGATATTCTGGACTGTTTTTAGAAAATATAGTTTCCCGAAAATCACAGAATCTTACAATGAAAAGGGCTTTAGAGATCTGTCAGACCAACCTTTTCCCAACCATACAAAAATTCTTCAGTGCCATTCCCAGCAAGCTTCAGCTTTCTGCGATCCAACAAGATAGCTACCAAGATCATTTTCAAAACTTATTTTAAGCAAATATGAATTTTTGCTTAAAATATTCCCAGCAAGCTTCAGCTTTCTACGATCCAACAAGATAGCTACCAAGATCATTTTCCAAACTCATTTTAAGCAAATATGAATTTTATTGTCCATTTACCTGTTTTGCAGTTTGTATTGTGATTATCAATTACCACACCATCTTTCACGAAGGAAGGGAACAGGGAGGTATCAAGCACTAGAGGAGGCAGCTGGGTCAGTTAGTGGAGCTATGATTGGTGCCCAGTTAGCCTCTGCAGCACATGGAAACCTCTTCCCAGAGAACGTTCTGTGAATTGTGTAGGAGAGGTTGTCTTTGGCCAGAATTTAAATGTATACTCACTTTACCAAATTGTATCACGCCTCACACTGCTGATGATTTAGAGTGTCGCAGTGGACATCCCACCTCAATGTCTTACCTAATCATGAAACTCCCTAGTCCCTTCCATGTGACTTCCCTGAAAAATCTAAGTGTTTCATAAATTGGAGAGTCTGTGACCCACTTACCTTGCATCTCACAAGTAGACAGTATAAAGCTAATAACCAAAGACCACATATTTTCACTCACACACACATTGTAATCATTTATTATACATATATACACACACATACTCTCAAAGCAAATAATTTTTAAGTTCAAAACAGTATTGACTTGTATACCTTATAATTTGAAATATCTTCTTTGTTAGAATGGTATCAATAAATAGACCATTAATCAGAAAACAGATCTTGATTTTTTTTGTCTTGAACATACCCTTCAACTATTGAGTGTTTAATAACAAATCTCATATGTCCTTCTTATTTTACATTTCAGCTTTCTCTCAAATAAAGTGTAACAATAATTGAGATAACACATGAAAGCTCTTTAAAGGGCCTATTGGGGACAGGAAAAAAGTAATGACAACACTATGGAAAATATGACAAGACTGCCTTACAACAGCATTGACTTAAAAGAGTTAATGTGGGGCCGGGCAGCTCACGCCTGTAATCCCAGCAGTTTGGGAGGCTGAAGCTGACTTGAGGTCAGGAGTTCGAGACAAGCCTGGCCAATATGGTGAGACCCCCATCTCTACTAAAATTACAAAAATTAGCTGGGTATGGTGGCATGCACCTGTAGTCTCAGTTATTTGGGAGGCTGAGGTAGGAGAATCACTTGAACCCGGGAGGCAGAGGTTGCAGTGAGGTGAGATCCCACCACTGTACTCCAGCCTGGGTGATAGAGCGAGACTCTTGCTTTAAAAAAAAAAAAAAAAAAAGTTATTTAGAATTCAATCAATCAATTTCCTAATCCTCAAGAGTAACACTATTCTAATGAAGTACGTACCCAGGAAGCCAACATGTCTTCTTTTCTATCTCCTAAAATTGTATGTGTTTGAATATTATAAAGCCTCAAGTAGTTACGATGGAGACCTAAACACTGTACAATTTAAGGGTCCAGGAAACTGAGCTGGGGGCATTACACAGTGTGGAGTCTCTGAGAAGGTTGAGAGTGGAACGAAGCACATCATCCTGTATGCTTGACGGACGCTTTAGAGGCCAGACAGGTGTGATATTTGGGCAAATTAACAGCTGCTAATGGTAGACATGAATTCTCACAAACGCCCTCACCTGAGAGGCAGTAGGCGGACCCTGGAAGGAGCTAAGATCCTAGATTCTGAGATATCCTGCTTAGAATCAGTGCCCACTACTTATTAGCTGTGTGACCCTGGTTACAGGATAATATTTCACCTCAAAATGCATCAGTTTCCTCATTCAGGATTGTTGTGAGGAGCAGGCTCAGCATAGGTCTTGGTGAAGAGAAAGTCCTCAATGTTTGTCCCAGACCCTCCTTACCCACTTTGCTACATCTTCATAGCAGCAGATGGATCCCACATCTCATATAGAGAGAAATGTTCCCAGCACTGAAAAAAATCTGTGGGAGAAATGAGAGTAAAAGCCTTCCTGACCAGTTTTCAGTAACTATATTTTTATAATCCTACTCTAGGCTATCGTTGTCTGTTTTCTGGGCTACTTCAGTAGCCTCGTGTTTTTCCTGTTGGCTCTTATTCTCACCTTTTTCTCTTGCTTCCCTAAGTTCCATGACAAACAATAATCTTTGTAAAAAATAACTTAACAGAATGCTACCACGTTGTTTAAAATCCTGCAGCTTACAATTAAGTGAAAACATACCATGAGCTGGCCTCACATGAGCTGGTCTCTGCCTGCTTCTCTGATCATGCTCCCTCTACCCTCCTTTGCTGAGCCTTGGCGTCATCTATTTTCTGTATGTCTCTTGAGCATACCAAGTTCATTGCCTTCTCGGGTTTTTGCATATGCTGTTCCCTGTGGTTCTGGTTTGTACTATATCAACTTGGTTAGGCTTAGAACTACATTTCCCAGAATCTCCTTCCCTGTGTGGTTCTAGGTTAGAGTTAGCCAAAGAAGAATTCATGTGAGACTTGGAAATCAAAAGTGAAGGAGTGACCCTTAATCTTGATTAGACATATTGACAAACACGCTGGTAGCCAGTGGATCCCAGCTTGCCCTTGCTCTTTTCCTCCACGTTCAGCTTATGCTCAGGACTGCTGGCCTCATGATCAGTGATGGTCCCAGGCCCCCACCAGATATTTGGCAGTGGACCCACAGAGGCAGTAGTTACACAGAAGCAAAAGAGCCCATAGACCCTAGCAGCCCCAATTTGGCACTGAACAGGCTTAACTTCTTGGATTTTCTTACAAGCTCTGATTTGTCCAACTGTCCCAGTGCTTCTGATGGACCAGTCTCTGATTCTTCCTCTGATCCCCTGACTCTCCCTTCCAGACATTCATTTCCTGAGATCCTCCCTCATCTGTGAGATCTGAATCCTGTAGCAAATCTTTCTTCTCATAATACTCATAGCGGCTCTGCTTCCCTGAAACACCTGGGCCTACACACACTTCTCTGCATGGCAGTTCTTGCCTCATCACTTAAGTTTCAGTTTAAATGTCACTTCACAGAGTCCCCTTCCCTTATCACCCTTAGCAAAATAGCCACCCTTTCACCAGACTCTCTCTCTGTGGTAGTGGTTTCCACAGTGGGGTGTGTGTACCTTATGGGGTTGATGAAATGAAAATAGTTAGAAATTACATTTTTGTCTAAAAAATAAGAAAGAATGGAAAATTGACTGTAAATCATTTGTCATGTGCTAATTTCCTGAGGACAAAGTGAGACCTCCACAACTGAGGGGCAAGCATATGTCCTCACTCAGTTACTCACCTTCCGCAGATTGTAACATGGGTTTCCATTTACGTGTATGTAGTTAAGGGGATTTAAGGATTACAAGACAGAGTGCTCACTCAGCCAACTTTCACAAAACGGGCAAATGGCTCTAAAAGGCTCTTCCTATGAAATTCTTGTGGGAGATCGTATTAACGATGTGAACATAAACTAACAAGAGAATACAATACACATAGATGGGATGGGTGTTTTAATTTTAACTATAAGGATACATAACTTTAAAAATCTGATGGCTATAGCCTGTTTCATTTTCTTTTATCATGATCATATACAATGATCAAACCATCACGATCTGAAATTACCTTTTTAAAAAACGTGTGTGCTTATTTCTTCCCCTGTACTCTACCACATGTACAAATTTAGATTCCTTGCCCATGGAAACTTTGTCTTCCCCACTACTGCATGCTTAGAGCCGTGCCTGACACTTAGGAAGCTCCTAATATGTAATTTTTTAGTTGATTGACATATGCTTCACCCTACATTTTCTAGGTTTTTTTCAAATCAATTTCAACTACTCTTGTCATGCTCATCTGATGCTCATTTCTGTCCTCAGCTTTGCTTGTTCTTTTATTTGCCCTGTCCTACTTTCCACTCCTCATCTATCTGGCTCCCACCCACACAAGATTCAAGTCCCACTTTTCCCATGACTCCATCCCAGAATGCTCCTGGCCACACTGATATCCACCTCCATGCCCTGTCATAAAATGACTTTAACTAGTAAGGATTGTTCTATGATTAAAATCTCCCATTATTTTGCTATACTAGAAAGCAGTCTGTACCTGAACAAAGTTTATACATTAGAGCAATGGATAAAATATTTAATCTGTAAACTGTACTTATGAATTTAGATGCTAGTGGCCAGGTACCATGGCTCACGCCTGTAATCCTAGCACTTTGGGAGGCTGAGGTGTGTGGATCACTTGGGGTCAGAAATTTGAGACCCACCTGACCAACATGGTAAAACCCTGTCTCTATTCAAAAATACAAAAAATTAGCTGAGTGTGGTGGCACACACAAGTAATCTCCACTACTCAAGAGGCTGAGGCATAAGAATCACTTGAACCCAGGAGGCTGAGGGTGCAGTGAGCTGAGATCATGCCACTGTTCTCCAGCCTGAGCAACAAAGTGAGACTCTGTCTCTAAATAAATAAATAAAGCAAGCTAGTGAGCTCTGGGTCAGTTAATTGGGAGAAAACTGTTTGCTTTTTTTTTTTTTTTTTTTTGGAGACAGAGTCTTGCTCTGTCACCCAGGCTGGAGTGCAGTGACACGATCTTGGCTCACTGCAACCTTCGCCTCCCAGGTTCAAGCGACTCTCCTGCCTTAGCCTCCCGAGTAGCTGGGACTACAGGTGTGTGCCACCACACCAGACTAATTTTTTGTATTTTTAGTAGAGACAGGGTTTTACCATGTTAGCCAGGATGGTCTCGATGTCTTGACCTTGTGATCCACCCATCTCGGCCTCCCAAACTGCTGGGATTACAGGTGTGAGCCACCACGCCCAGCCCTTATTTGCAGTTTCTTTATCCTTACGGGGAAACTGGGAAATTGTCTTCTTGTTGGAAAGGAAGTTAAAGGGAGCCTACAATCACAGATACTTTAGGTACTGTCCCTTTTTTGGTCTGTATAGAGAGAGGTTGAGATTAACTGAGAACGAAAAACAGGCAACACTTCTTAATAGGGAGTGGAATTAGCTCCCAAGTCATCACAAGCCAAGATGTCACTTGAGGCATTTGATATCCCCATTGGTTTAAAGTTCTCAGGAGGGAACTTCAAACTTTCGACCCTACATTTTAAGGAGATAAATAAATCACAAAGGATCAGTCTAATCTAAGTCCATTAATAAGATTATGAACTAGGGCAAACTGACAAAAGATTAGAGGGAAAGGTGTCAAGTTATACCTAACTATTTGCTTTCTCCAAAAGTCTGCTATATAGATTTTTTCTTTTTTTCTTTGTATTCTAAATTTTTTTTTCTTTCTATTCATGGGATGTTGATGAATATGCAGATTTAAAAAAATTCTTCCTTTAAATATAATATACTGTTTCAAGTCAACAGTTTTAATAAAGAATTTGTTTTGCTCAAAGCAAAAAAGAAGGAATGACTTGCTGGTATCTCCATTTTCAGAGAACTAAGTCTCGGCCTCTGCTTTCTGTGTAGAGTGTAGGACCAAGTAGGTACAGCCATCTGCCACCAGCTTTCTTTAACCATTGGAGTAGATAACCTGAACTTTCTCTGGAATGAGGAACTAAAAATCACAGTCTATTAGGTAAACGTCAATGTCAAAGCATAAAACAGAGAGGAAAAATATTGTGTTGCTTAGAAAAAGAAATGCCAGCATTCACTTTTGCAATAGCCAAATCCTCAGAATTTGCCTCAGGGCAGATGTCTCTTTTGTATGGAGGCTTTGACTAGGGAGAGACAGCCTAGGAGTTTTGATGGTACGGAAGTTAAAGCAAAACTAAGCTAAA